GGAGGAAGACGGATGATGCTGATCGCTCCAGACTGAAGGACTCATCGGGAGAGCTGAAGGCCTCGAGGCGGAGCGGCCGCAGCTCAGTGGGTCTGAGAAGCCACTGGGATGATTTGGCGCTTCTGCGGCGATTCGGTGCTTCGCGGGGAGCGGGCTGTTACCGGAGCCCGGCTTTCCTCACCCCCCGAGTGGGGCGGGAGGAGACACACACGCTCTTTGCTCTCTAGAGTTAATGACACGAGGGTTTTTGCCCCCAGCTACTGCCTTTTTGCTTTCTATTCCCCCCCCTCAGAGATAAGGAAAGGATTTCTTTGGCGTCTCTCCCCATTAACTGGCGGAGCCCAAGGCCGCTAACCTCACCTCCTCCCCTGGGGCAGGACAGGCTCTTTCCGACCACCTCGGCGTCAGAAACGCCTGCCGTATTCCGGTCAGGCTGGAGAACCAGACAAAGGACCAAAAAAGTTTTACGCTGAGAAGCAGCTTCGTCCCTTGGCAGCGGGGATGTCCAGAGACAAAATATAATGGGTGGAAAGTTCCTGCAGCCCCACGAACCTCCTCCCGCACAGACGTCAGGCGAGAACCAACAGCCCCGTTCCAGGCTCGGCACCTCGCTCCGGGGGCCAAACCGCCCGGATCCCCCTCTGGCATCACCCAGAAAGTCTCAGATGTGCGTGCAGGGGGAGAGGTGACAAACTCCAAAAGAAACAGCGAAGCGGGAAGATTCGAGGAGAGCAAGATGGGAGCTTAAACCCGGAGCATCACATCCTCCCACTGAGAAGGGCAGAAACCTAAAGAAAATGGGGGGTCTTGGGCCAGGCTGCGAGGGGGGAGCAGGTTTCTGGCTCCTGGGAGAGGCGGTGATGAGAACGAGCTCTTCAGGGGACGGGTTTCTTCCTTCAAGGAAGGCACGACACTCATTTCCATGCAGCACTCAAAAGGTTAGAGTCGCAGGTGTTCAAAGCCATCTGCGTGAACTTTAAAAGCCCCGGCAGCACCGCAGAAACAGGCTGGTACGCAAATCAAGGGAAAACGATCACAAAGCAGGGGGCCGGCTGCCGCGCTAACGCCCCAAAACCCCACACCCCAACACAGCGAGGACGGGGAGGGTTTAAACATAGCGAGAGACCTTCCTAACGGGACTCCGGATTTCAAAAAACCCAGGAGCCGTCCAGCTTCAGAGCACCCATCCCCCGCCAAAAACCCGCGCGCTGAAGGTCCCCGGGGCAGGGGCTCGTCAGCGGCACCCTGGAAGGGCGCAGGGCAGAGCACCGGCGAGCTAGGCGAGACCGTGGCGGGGC